GCCCAGTTCTCCCTCCCCAGATACCCATCTCCATGGGCTAGTACACTGGGAATGGGGTCATATTTTCAGTTTTTCCTTTTCACCAGTCAAGACACAAGTTTGTGTGAAAGGCACAGTCATTCATCCCTTAGATATCAGGACTGTAGAGCTTCCTGGAAGGACAAGCACAAGCTCCTGTGAAGAACAAGCAAAGGTGGAAGCTCTTTGTTCACTAGCTGAAATGATGGCAACCTTTCCTAAGTCGTGTACCAGATGATACTCTTTTCCCAGTTAGTGGTTAAATAAGTTGGTAGAATGTAGTAGGAACAAGTATATAGGTCAAGTAACTTGACTTAAAGGTCAAGTAACAGGACAGATCTGGCGAGCCCCTGACTCACACAGAGAGATGTCTACAGTCAGGATTTTCCCTCTGTACCAGCCATTCTTCTTTCCTGGGTTTTAAAGTCAAACTACTTCTAAACCTCAGTTACTTTGAACTTCTTTACTCTCCTGTCTAGATGCTGACCTGGGACATCTCCCAGTGTCACATCCAGAAGAGGTCTGAGTGTGCACTCTTTCTCCATGCATTCTGGTTTTCTCCTGAAGGAAACTCAGTCACACAAGCAAGGAGGAAACCTCACTGCATTCTAGTATGTACCCTACTGGGAAAGATTTGGCAAAGTTTTTCCAAGCCACACACCACTGTATGCTCATACCCTGCAGCCTAGACATGGCTGCCAGCCATCAAGACTCCCAATCAAAAGCACCCTTGCTCCCACAACTGCATCTTCCACTGGCCCTGCTCTGTGCCAGAATCTGCCCCCATTCTGTTGCTGCCAACATAAATCAAACTATTCAGATCAAACAGATAACTCCTGTCTGTCATAGAAAACTCACGTGCTACTTCTTACAATTTTCTTGATCCCTGTTTCTTCTCTTTTCAGTTATTAGAGATGCTAATGTGGTGCAGCTGGATGTAGACTCTGAAGTCAACCATGTGGTAGGGCCACTAAATCCAAAGGCAACTGACCACAGGGAGCCAGTTTTTATTGGAGGTGTACCAGGTATGTTTTTGGTACATGTTTGTGGTACATTGTTCTCAAATTTCAACACAGTTTCCAGACAAAGTAGAGAGACTTCATTTTCATTTCAAAAAAGAACAAAACATATCGCATGTTAACAGCCTGGTAAAATCGAAAGGCTCAAGAGCTGATCAGAAATATTCTGCCTCAAGTTCTAAAAGAAAAAACCTACTGCTTCATTGAAATTAAAACATTCACGGTTGCTGGAGGGTCAGGTATGGACTCAGTAGTCAGACAGCTAGAAAAAAAAACTTTTTTTCCATTTTAGTTTCCAGTATGGGCTTACTGGTTTTTAAGAAGTTATTATTTATTTATTTATGGGATTGGAAACTCAGTGTCAGTGTAACTGGAGTCTCAACGTTTTGTTCCTGGTAGGCTTCTTTCTTGTTCTTCAAGCAATGGTGTCTTTGAACACAAGACAAAACATGAAGATTCTTTTTCTGACTAGTGATTTCTATTGCACAGATGTCTGCTAATGTGAATTTGTGACTCACAGACCATCTGTGTAGCGTGGGCCAAGATTACTACATTTACTTCCCTTATTCAACAGACAGAGCTACTCTGTTGGGGTTCATATACAAACTGTAATCAACACTACGTGCTTCAATTTTTAAGTCACCTCCTGTACATTTCTCATTGAAAATAGGCAGCATTATTTCTATGTGCCTTGCATGTCAATCATGAGCAGCTCTAACTACAAAATTTAATATATTGCTTATCTTGGATTAGTGACTTGTGTGTGTGATGTTCTCATCCATCCCACACTACCAGGAGAAAAAATGAGCCTAAAGAGAATAATAAATTCTATGTGCAGATGCCTGTTCACTCTTTAAATCCAAACTGGAATTTTATTAGGACAGAACTCTTCCCAGAGAGGTAATATAAAGTGGTAATTGCAAATGCTGTTCTGCTTCATAATATTGCATTGTTTTAGTATTCTGTAATAGAGCCTTCTATTTCTACATTTATTACAGAATACTAAAACAATGCAATACATTGGCTCTATAATAATACTATCAGCCTGGCAGGGAAAAATCTTACAAAGAACATCATGACCACAAACAAGATATAATACTAAGTAATACCATGTAAATATAGTAAACTAAATGTAGACTTACAAATCAGACACACATGACAATACATGCAATATTAAAAGAAATTACAAACATACACCCTGGGATTCATCTACTCTGTTACTTAAAAGAAAATGCATTTGTCAAAAAACGCAAGATTGGGCCTCTATTGACTATGTAGTATCAAGAGCTTTACATAAAAGTAGATAACTACTTACTCTAATGACCTCTAAGACACTGGCAGTAGGCCGAACATTCTAAAAGACCCACGGAAGATTCAGGAGAGCTGCAGTTAGTAGCAAATTGAAAAGATTCTGCCACCAAACATTATTTTAGTCATCATGAGCTCTAATTTTGTTTTGTTTTGGTTTTTCTTATAAATCTCCTTCTTCCAGAGTCTCTGCTAACATCCAGCCTGACGACACGCAACTCTTTCATTGGCTGCATTCGTAACTTCATGATTGATGAAAAACCAGTGAGTTTTAGCAAAGCAGCTTTGGTTAGTGGTGCTGTAAGCATCAATACCTGTCCAGCAGCCTGATAGTGCACTGCATCAATCCCATAAAGTTCCACGGACCACAGGAAAAAAATAGCACAAAAGAAACCATGTTCATCGAGAGAAGAATGAAAATACCAAGGATCTATCTACAGAAAGCAGTATGTTTAAGGGTCACTTCTAATGTTTAACATGCAAACAAAAAATCACTGAAGAATAAAGGGCTGTTACTTCTGCACTTCTCTTACTATACCACAAGAGTGAGCTTTACCATTTCTTATAGTGTATGTGGCCAGTCTGTTACATGAAAATGTGGGATTATAAAAGAAATGAAAATTATATTAAATATGCTACTTCCAAGATAGATCCTCTACATCATTTCATTCCATACCTTAGGTCACCCTTTGTTTCACAGGAAAAGACCTGCTAATGCACATTAAAGAATAATGCTAGATAACAGACTTGCATCGCAAATAACTGTGTTCAAAGATATTTTTTTTAAAATTTTCCATTCAACTCATTTCTATATTCATCAGGTAAAATGGGGGGCAGAGAGCATACCAATTATGTAAGCTTACAAACAATGAAAAACTGAATTTTTTATTTCTACTTCTAGACTTCATGGATGTGAAAATAGGATGTATATATTTTAAGACAGACACTTTATGTAACTGATCATTTACCTAAACTAGGTAATTTTAGAGCAATACTTGCCTTATGTAGGAAGGGAGAATAGAGATAAAATTCAAAATTTCAAGTTTTTTATCTAATTTTTAAATACACTTACATAAAACCACAGCACTAAATCCACAATCTCATTGTGATCTCATCTGCACCAGTATAACACAAGTAAACACAAAGTGTAGAAAACAGAGTCACAGTCACAGTTTCAGGCAAATCCCTTATCACATAAAATCACCGCTTCCTTGTGAGACTGCTGCAGGGCTTCAGTTTACAGCAGTAATCCTCAAACTAGGAACATGTTCCTGTGAAATATATCCCAGGAGATATGCTGCTGCAGAGGAACTGGGAGTGAAATAGGAACTTGTAAACAGAAGAAAAAGGGCTGCAAACCTGAGCTGTTAAAACCATGGAAGGTAGATGGAAGCTAATACTAGGCTTTAGCTCACAGTAGGCCTGAACATCAAACAGACACAAGTCACTTGCAAAACACAGACTCTTCACTGACAACCTACAAGGCACCAAAGCCACTTAGGCTTGTTTCCTTTAAAGAATAAACTATTGTTGACAGAAAGTTTTACAATTGCTGAGCAAATTATCATTGGAACCAACTCAAAACATCAACAGCTGAAAAGCAGGAAAATACGAAAGGTGAAAATAACACCCTACAGACTAAAAATTAATAGGAGCTCACCTGGAAAATACACGTGACAACTGTAATCCAAAATTCATAAATCTGTGGACAGCTGGAGGAACCACCAGAGTAAGATACATGTGTAAGAACTAATCAGTAGCTTCCCTACTACTCTCTCAGTAGGAAAAGGGTTTTGACAGATTGGTCTTGGTTTACTCTGGATAAAGAACTGCAAGCTCTGGACACACCAGCACAGGAACTCTCCCGCAGCTGGGACCATGTCACTGCCTCTCCACTTGTCTCGAGTCCAGTGTTGGGTGGTAAGTGGACAAGAGAAGATAGTGTGGCTCCAGCAGCCACTGCCTCTCCTTCCACCAGCCTGACAGCTCTGCTCATGCTTTCAGCCCCACGCCTGTTGTAATTGCCTTCTCCTGGACATGTCTCCCACTCTGTTCCCTGCAATGCTCAGGCAATACGGTTCCAGGACTGTTTCCCTTCCCAACAGCCTAGGGAGGCCCCCTATCTTGGGGAGTGGTACAGTGGTATATAGACCCCTCTTTTCATCACTTCATAGCCCACTGTTCATAATTCAGATGCAACCAGTAAGAGCACACCTCTGCAGTCTCTCCGAATCAAGCACACCATGGGTCCCTAAATACAGTTGCCTTCAAGCACCACCTTTTTCTTGGGTACCAAAAGCAGTCTGCATGCCTGCTAAGCTCTTTTCTGCTCCCAGCTACTACCCAGACTGTGAAAAGAAAAAAATTAGAGCGTTTGGTTTGGGAATTTTTTTATTATTGGGGTTGAGGGGAACTGTCCTCAGGTCAGTGAGCTGTGTTCCCAGTGGGTACCAGAGGCCATGCATGGTGTCAGGGCTGTGCAGCTGGGAGCAGGCATAAAAAAAGGATGTCTCTCCCTCCAGTGGCATCGAGTTGTTAGACTGGCTCTATCAATCTCATGACACCACAACCTGAGCTAAGCTTCCTCAGGCCCAGGTCTCTGCTGGAGAGACCTCAGGCCCCAGACCTCTCTGCTGGAGAGAATAGCATGGCAGATTCCCTGCTTCGATAGTTTCATTACAAGGATTACTGAAATTTCTTTCAAGGTTGTCTGCAGCTGCTAAGCAGGAATAGCCAGTAACAGCATATGCTTGTGCCCCCTAAGAGCATCACAGTTTAGTGAATGCTGGTATTCAGTGGAGCATTGTATGTTAAGTGGTATACACATACTCTGAATGCTTTTCCGTTTTACACCCACTTGAACCTAAAGCATATTTTCTCATATCCACATCCAAGCTGTGTGAATAAACAATATTTTTCTTAGCCATATTTTCTGCAATGAGATTTGGTTTTCTTTGGTTTTGTTCGGTGGATTTACATTTAAGAATTACTTTTTTGATTAATCAGTCCTTTGCATACTTTATCTATAGAAAGCTAAAAATATAGTAAAATAGTATGTGAATAAAAAACACAATTAAAATTCATAAACTGCTACCATTCAATTTACTTCTCTTTACTATATCACCAGCTAATTAAACACAGCAGCATTTGTGGGGGGTATCTTCCTCAGTTTTCCTTTCCAGGCCTCAGAGATGCAGATTTTCCCTCTGCAGAGCAGGGTTTCAAAGAAAATTACTATAAACCAGAGGATACTTGCAGACTCAGGAGAGAGCAGAGAATAATGCAAATTTCCCTGCCCCCAACATCCACACAGACCTTGAAATTACCATTCCGTATGCTCCAAAGAAAGTCTGTATGTGATACATTACATTACACGCACCTCCGCATTCATTTCAAAGCTCCTGGTGTTTAAGAGAAGGCAACTGCCTAAGCAGAAATCTTCCCAAAATTCAATTTGTCTTCTGTAGCTATCTTAAAAAAGACCCTTCATCTACAAAGACTTGGGAAAAACCTCCAGGTTCTGAGGTACATTGTCAGATTGTCCATTTGCATTTTCAGTATGAATATAACTATCTCAATTCTGCAGAAAACCTGCCCAAAAAATGAACACTGATCCTAAGGAGATTATAACTTTTCTCTGCCTCCTTCAAGATTTTAATAAGTGTTGTTATAGCCATTATCTAAATCAGGGCTACAACTACACTGTTATTATATCATGGAATATTCTGACATTTGACATTTGCACAGCTAGATAACAAAGAATCTAATTTCAAATTGAAATACTAAACAAACTGCTTCAAAATAGAATGTTTAATTAGGATCTCCAGCCCCTCTATCTCTTATTTCTGAAGAACGGTAGAGATCTCCCATGGTTGAAGGTTCTTATCAACCTTTCCTTCTCAAAGATCAAGAGTATGGACAACAGCCTGAAGAGGAAAACGAAAAATTAAGGATTACAGGTCTGACAGTAATTCCCCAAAACCCAACCATTCTACGTAAAACACCAAAAAAACAACAAACCATCATACATGAACAAAACCCTGATACAAATCAATTACATAAAATTAGTTCAAATTCCAGTGTGTTCTCCCCACAGCAGCATGTGGCCTAAATAGTCAAATGACTGTCATTTAAAAGATGCTGGAAGCACAGAATATATGTTTAACTTGTGATGTACATTTGGCTCTTGTTATCATTGGGATTGAAGGGTTATTCACAGATACACAGCAGTCCATGCCAACTCATTTCCTCTCAGTAACATAGTATGTTATTCCTACAATTCAGTTATTCAATTCATGTTCTAAAGCTGTGAACGCTGTTACTGTATAGCCTCAACAACAAGAAGTTACTGAGAAAATAAGGGTAAGAAACACACATTAGCGTAAGATTGCTGATTAAATGATTAACACAGACAAAAAGTCTCTGAGGGGACCTGACTAGATTAGTGCATTTATCCTGTGGTTGATGGAAGTAGAGCTTCATCTGCAACGGAACAGAAAGTCAGTGTGTGATTATTTCTCTCACATAGCTGGGCTGCCTGCTTCATTAAACCTCTAAGCACACGCATCAAGCCAAACTGGTTATTACGCATCCACTTCCTGCCCTCGGACCTCCTTTGTAAGCTAAAAAACATTCCCACATGAATATGAATCTCAGTTGCATCTCTGATTCACAGTGTTTCCAAGCTCAGTGAGAATAATCACTTTACATTTGCCATCACAGACCTCTTAATAGCATATCGGAAGCCAGAGAAGAGTTTCTTACTGCAATCTCATCTTCAGTGGAGCAAATTCTATTAAGCTGAATCTTGATGGGACACAGAACACGAGAACTACAGCTAACTGAAAGAACAAGTAGAAAGTGTGGTGAATTACACAAGAAAGCAAGCCAGATGTGGTAATATTAAGAGATTTCTGTAGACTTTAAGCTTTAGAATGCTTACAAGCAATGCTGTACTGCTTTTAGCCTAAGTAAGGCCAGAAAAACATGTGAAGGGAAGATTTTAAGGGCACAACAGTAGGTAACGAAGTACAGTAGCAGTTTGACATCTAGTAGCTACAACAGACCACAGCCTACAGGCTCAGACCAGTTCAGGCAACCACAGGGAACAAAATTAAGCTATGTTACATCTAGTCTGTCCAGAGAGAAATAAGAAATTACTACCTGCTTTCCTGATTAATATTCATGTAGTTTTACACTGGTGATTAGTTTATAAAAGAAGTGTTTGAGGCAGTATTACTCTACTCGTGCTACATCTTCCACCTTCAGTGTTAACCGAAGCCATTTGTCCTTTGCAACTTCAAACATGAAGCTTGAGTAAGCTTGGGACACTCATTACTTTTTCTCAAGAACAATATAAATTTCCAGTAGATGGATTCTTCTCTTTCGATTAAGTTTTTAAAAATTAGTCTTGATATGTATTTCTTATATATAAAATATTATTATATTATATTGTACAATATTGTAGTTGCTACAATACATACTTAATCTTTCTAGGAGGTTTTTTTTTTTAAGAGTCATTTGGTATAACTTTATTTTCCTGGGGACTTAGAACTTATCTCTACAGCATCCTAGGTCACATCCAGAGTCCGCAGCATGGTTTCTCCAGAGCAAATAAAGGATTAAGATACACTAAATTTCAGATTTCTGTTAAGAATTTCATTTAGAAAATTTTGTTTGCACACCAGCACTAGAATTAATATATTTGGGGAAAGCATATTTTGCTGTATAGTTTTTAGCCATAAAACCTAATGAACTGGGTTGCATGAAAGTACTTTTGTTCTCCCACAGGAAGCAGAAATGCCATCTGTGTCACAAGAGAGCTTTCTGCAAGCAACTGCTTTTCGTATCACACATTCTTGACAGCGTTTTGCAGCATAGTTATGCTGTGGACCACTCCTACCATGCTGAGACAATAGCATCTCTACATTTCTCATCTCTTATTTTTAGTCCCAAAGCTGCCTCACTTTTAGTCCCAAAGATCAACACATAGGCAAAAGCACCTCCTAATTGCACTGTGGACAACTATTTTGCACAAGAAACATGAAACTGAGCATAAAGAAAAATGTGATTTGCATGTGGGATGGGCAGGTATGTTACTATGGGGCTTCCACATGAGCATTTTTTAAATTTAATTTTTAATTTGTATTTTCATATTGTTACTGATTTTATTATCAACTGACATTAAATTGTGCTTGATTTTAATATAAGTATAGAATTAAGAGATATTTTAGTAAAAAATCATTTATTTTACATTTATTGTACTTTGAGTCTAGCAACCGACTGCTACTCTAAAATCCCCTTTACAGCCCTGTACCAAGGCCGAAGGGATTGGTCATAATTGTTTAGTAGGAACGGTTAGAGCCTAGGTAACAAAACACAAGGTGGTTTGTAAACTGATTTATAATACATACATAGGACTAGAAGAATGCAAGTAGTTGTCAAGGTCCAGGATTAATGGGAACTGAGGGCAGTAACCGTAACAGCTTGCAGGTACCTGCCAAGAAAACCGTGTCCTTAAGCAGAATGTAATTCTGGCAGGGGGAGATCGCGACCACCGACTCATGGACTACCTACTCACACGCCAGACCCATTTCCAGACATTTCTAACCTTTACTGCGCAGAATCCGAGGATAATATGTTAATGATTTCTTGGAAGTTGTATGCTTATGTATGAAGACTTAATGAATATGTATGAGTAAGTTCTATATGATTCTGGTGCCTGGCACGTGTTGTTGGTGAGAGCACTCCCCTACACGTCCGGCCGTCACTAAAGGAGTGTCTGCTTATCTGCATCACATTGGTGTCGATAAGTTTTTATCCCGGTTTTTGGTGACAAAATCATTTGGCACAATTCACGCCATCACTCTGAATAATGTATTTGGAGAAAATAAAATATCTCTTCACACATCTTTAGCCATAAAAGGTAACGAACTGCATTGTACGGGAATAGTTCAGTTCTCCCATAGCAAGCCTTGATTTTGGGCCTTTGCCATGCCTCCTGTACTTGAGCTTTGGCAGAGACCCCGTGGCCCCTAACAGGCTCACCCACAAGACTACACCGAGTTTCTGGGTACCTCACCCCGCCCACCGTTCCCGTACTGCCAAACAGGCAACGGCCACCTCACTGCTCCCTCCGTGCACGCTTATCCCTACACCAAACCTTCAATCTCACAGACGCAGCCGCGGCGCCCAGGCTCAACGCCCAAACGCCGCTCCCACAGCCCCGCCTCCCTCAGGAGAGCCCACACGCGAGGCACAGCCCCGCGCACCCCCCTGCCCCCTAATGGAATGTCCCACTCGCGGCGGGCAGGCGGCGAGCGCCCCGCCAAGCCAACGAATGGGACTTTTTTTAAGT